GGGGGAAGTGGGGGACACGGGGTGACACGGGGATGTGAATGACACCATGGACATGGCGGGACACCGAGGGACATGGGCGACAGGGGGATGCGGGAGGATATGGGGACACAGGGGGACATGAGGGACACAGGGACATGGAGGACACAGAGACATGGGGGGGACATAGGGGGACATGGGGACAGGGACAATGGGGGGACACTGGGGGACATGGGGGGCACCTCCTGTCCCAGCTCTGCTGCTTCGGACACCGGACAGGCCCTGAACGGCAGCCGGATGATCCGTGTTTCCAGCAGCGCCCGGGTTGCCTTTTCCTGCCCCAAAACGGGCTTGGAAACGGGAGCCGGAGCTGAGTGCTCCAGATCCGGCCTTTCCCGCCCCAAAACCTGGGCTCGGAAGCGGCAGCTCCCGAATCGGCTGCTCGGAAGAGGCTGAAACGGCTGCGGGCTCCAGATCCGGCCTCATCCCGGCCTCCTCCCGCAGGTGATCGACCGGAGCGGCGCCCGGCACGGGGAATTCGAGGACCTTTCCCGTGTCCCCAAGTACGAGATGCCGGACAGCGAATACGCCAAGCGCCCCGGTAAGCGCGCGGCTCCCGGCGCCGCCTCCCGCTCCCGCCTTCCCRGCCTGATTTTTCCCCGTTTTTTTTTGTTTTCCCCTCGGGATGCAGAGAGTCTCCGTGCCTTCCTGCAGCGGCGGCAGCTGGGCCGCTTCGCGGAGGCTCCGGAGGCGCCGGAGCAGCCGGACGCGGACGCGATCCCGGTGGGCGCCCGCTGCCAGGTGCGCGTGCCGGGCCAGCCGGCCAAGCTCGGCACCGTCATGTACGTCGGTGAGTGCCGCCGGCGCCGGGATTCCCGCTCGGCGTTCCCGGCATTCCCGCCTGGCACTGCCTTTCCCGCAGGGCTCACGGATTTCAAGCCCGGCTGCTGGGTCGGCGTGCGCTACGACGAGCCGCTCGGCAAGCACGACGGCAGGTAGGGAGCGGGGTGGGATTCGGGAAGAGCCGGCGCCTCCGGATGCTCTGGAGCAGCCCGGGCTCTTCCCAGGGGATTTGGAGCATCCAGAGCCCCTCGGCCATTCCCATTGGGATCAGGGAAGGAGAAGGCAGCATCCAGAGCTGCCCAGGCTCTTCCCACTGGGATAGGGGAGCGAGGATGGAGCCTCCGAAGGCCTTTCCGCCTGGATTGGGGATGGAGCATCCAGAAGCCCCCCTGGGCTCTTCCCACGGGGATTGAGGAGGGAAAAGGGGGAAGCTCCCGGGCTCTTCCCGCTGGACTGGGGCTCCCGGGTGCCGCCTTTTCCCACCATTCCCACCGTTTTCCCGGCAGCGTCCAGGGCCGCCGCTACTTCGAGTGCGAGCCCAAATACGGGGCCTTCGTGCGGCCGCCGAGCGTCACCGTGGGCGACTTCCCGCCGGAGGACGACGGCCTCGACGACGAGATGTGACACCGGGAAAACGGGACGCCGGGACGCCGGGAAAATGGGACACCGGCATGCCGGGACACCGGGAAGCGCCGCCGCCCACCCCCCACGGACGCTGCCCTTCCCTCTTTCGTTTTTTATTATTTTTGCGGGGATTTTGGGGCGAAACTGGCCCTTTTCATCTTCTTTCCCGCTGTCCCCACTGCCCAAATCCGGGCGTTCCGGCCCTGTTTTGGTGCCATTTCCTCGGATTTGGGGTGGTGGCCGTGGGGAGGCTCTGAGCGCCACCCCCTGCCGCCGGCCCCGGCCGGTTTTGGGGCCAGATCGGGTGTTTTTTGGGTCCCTTAATTTATTGTCCCCTCCTGGTCGATGCCAATAAAGCCCCTGCAGGGGGAGCCCAGGCCCTGGGGGCGGTGTCTTGCYGGAGGGGCGGGGCTTGAGAGCCCCGCCCCCTTCTCGCGCCGCAGCCAATGGCCATGTGTGTGCACCGGGGGGGTGGAGCTTCTCGCAGCACCACGGGTGTGGGCGTGGCCAAGGGTGGGCGGTTGGAGCCCCGCCTCTTTGTGCACCGCAGCCAATAGGCGTTCAGGGGGGCGTGACCCAGGGCGGGGGGGCTCATGGGGTTACTGGGGTGGGTGTGGCTTCGTGACACGCCCCCTCGGGCTTGGCAGCCAATAGCTGCTGGGGGGCGTGGCTATGGCCACACACCAGAGTCAATAGGCCCCCGAGGGGTGGTGGGGGGCGGGGCAACAACCGACTCCCCCCCTTAACGGCCCCAATATATCCCTAATTGGCCCTAAAACGCCCTCTAGAGGCCCCAAATGACGCCTCAATGGACCGAAATTCCCATTAATGGCCCCAAAAAGCCCCCTTTCCTCCCCAGCCGCTGCGGCGCGCGCTCCGCCTACCCGGCGTGCCCCGCGCGCGCGGCCGCCGGCCAATCGCGAGGCGCGGCTTCAGTGGGCGGAGCCGCGGGGGGCGGGGCTGGCCCCGCGAGGCGGGCAGGGCGGGGCGTACGGTGGCGAAGGGGCGTGGTTTGGTGCAGGGG